ATTTATGTTTTATTTATGTTTTGACTCTGTTATATTAGATATATAGTTGGAATATAAGTTCTGAGGTGATTAAGAGACGCAAATGTATTTAGAATATATATGAACAATTGAGAGTTTATGCAAATGAGTTAGGGATGGTGAAAAGATATACAATAATATCAATTTGAATATTCATGTATAAATTAAAAAAATTTACAATTTTAAAACCATATTAAAATATTTTAATAAATAAAGAAACTAAATTACCTATTTAATAAATCAATTAATTTGGGTGAGAGGGTAAATATTTATTGGTGACAAGTCAATAGCACATTAAGGAGGGTGGGGGCAGTGGTATGAATGAAATTCAAGGGTTTGTACGCGTTGTCATTGTGCTGACTATCACGGGCCCTTCAACTGAGGTGGATTTCTTTGCAGCTTCCTACTCAAACCTTAAATTTGTTTTTCTTCGCTTCCCTCGCCGAAAAGAAAGAGTGTATGGACCAAATCCTCAACAAGTCTATTTTTTAATCCAACTTATTTTGTTTTATTCAATCATGGGTATTTAACAAGTGTGTATTAAATGTTTTAAGCAATAATAAAACGTTTAATTCAAGTGTGTATTAAAGTCGCAACTCACGAGTTACTGAGATTTCAACGTTAATAAATCTTTGAAGAGACGCCAACTTCCATATTTTGTCCTTCTGTACTCAGAAAACTCCTACTAGAAAAAGGGAGAGAGAAAGCACAAATGTAGGTGGCATCTACGAATAAAATGAACCAAAAGATCTTTAATTATTTCTTTCTAACTGTCTTTATATGTTTGAACTTCCAACATGGAAAAAAAAGTAACCAGTACCCTTTTGCTTGAAATGATGATCACACTCTTTTAGTTATTGTGTATTGCATGAGAATGGAACTAGTCCTATATATATCATCAAAATCATTACAATGAACATAATGCATATTTTGTAAATTATCTTAAATATTTTTTTTACAAGTGTATTGCATAGTTGAGTTATTTTATTTATAAAAAAATATTATTATTGTTATTTTCTTATATTTAAAGAGAATATTGTAATTTTTTTGTAATAAAATTATATTATTGTCTATTATCAGTTTTTTTTTCTCATATTTTATTTTAGTTGTGAATTCTTATGCAGTTAACACTGATATCAGAGCTGATGGTTCTTATTTATGATAGCTGATGATTGATTTCTTATTTATGATATTATTCTGTTGCTATAGTCATTCACCTCTCTTCCCTCAGAGTTTATTTAATGTACTAGTTACGATTTACACTGTTATTCCAATAGATAATATTGTTCATAGTGAAAGGTACATAAGTCGGTTAAAACTATTACAACAAAATATAAGATAGAAAAATTTAATGGAAATAGTTTTTCATTGTGAAAATTGAAGATGAAGACATTTTTGGTGGACATCACAAACTAAAGGTGGGAAGAAATAAACAACAACACTATAACAAATTTGTAGAGAAGGGTACAACAAAGGAGATTTGGGAGTCCCTCGTCAAATTATATCAAAAGGAATACATATTAGACTTGGTTTATTATAATATGTTGAAATCGCCAATATTATCCTAGGAGGGACCACATATTTTGTATTACTGATGACAATGATTACTCCAAGAGATTATAGGTGTACCGTATTAAGAGGAAGTTTGTGTTTTCAAAATTCGGGAAAGACAAATTCTTGGACTATGCTAACAATGTGAGGGGTATTTCCTTTGGATCCCACTATCCACAAAGTGATACAAATATTATTTTTCTTCAAGGTGAATTTAGATAAAGGATTGAAGTCCTCCAACCAGAAGACTTAAAGAAAAAGGAAACTTGGTTTGTAGGTTGTCCAAATCTCTATACGGTTTAAATTGGGTGTCCAGGTATTAGTAAAAGAGATTTGATTCTTCATGGTTAGTCTTGATTACAAAAGACTAAGTTCAGACTATTTTGATCATTTTGTCGTTGTACGTGGATGACATGTTGGTGGTAGATTCCAACAAAGTTTGAATCCTAGTTTTGAAGGCCCAGTTGGCTAGGAAGTCTGATATGAAGAACTAGGGACCAACGAACAAGATTTTATGGATGCAAATTCATCGAGACAAATAATATAGGAAGGTTTGCTTTATTAGAAAAATTACTTATTAAAGGTCTTGCAGTGCTTCATGCAAGGGCGTAAGCTGGTTTCTACCCCAGTTTCTATCAAGTTATCCTCAAATATTAGTCATAGTAATGAAGTAAAGAGAATGGAAATGTCTCGAGTACTATATGCATCGACGGTGGGAAATCTTATAAATACCATGATCGGTACAAGACTAAACATTACACAAACAGTAAGAGCAGTTAGTAGATTAATGACAAATTGTGGTGGAGAGCATGAGCATTACCAAGAGAAATATTATCAAAGGAACCTTGAGATGTTGTATTATGTTTCGGATGATCAAAACTAGTTGTCAAATGTTATGTTTGTTCAGGTTTTGTAGGTGATTTTGATGAGTTTACCTTTGTTGGAGAGACAATACCTGGTTATTCAACTTGTAGATTGTTATAGCTCTGTTTATCACAAAAGTTGAGGACATAGCAATCACTCAGACATGTAAGAAAACTATTTGGATTAAGAGGATAATGGTATTGTGAGAATTAAAGTGTCTTACACATTATAATGAATCTTGCCTCGTTTTTCAAGATAAAACAAGAATAACTTAACATATGTTATGATAGTCAGTTTGATGTGACAAGTTTACATGGAAGTGATTCTACTAAAGGTCTATTGTAATAACAACATAGAAGACAATAATAATGTATTGTGAATATTCGATTAATTTAATCAAAATCTTCAAGTTAGAGATGGTGAAAACGTGAGAAGAGAAGTCTCACATCAGGGAAATCATATGTGAGTGCTTACTTTTCTCCTTATAAAAGGAACATAATGTCTATCTTATAAATCACCAAAAAATTTTTTCTTCTCCTTTCTACTAATGGATTGCATAGTAATTAAGTTCTCTTATTTTTTAAAGAGAATATTATTATTGTTTTTTCAATAGGGTATTGTAATTTCTTCCGAAAGAGAATATTATTATTATTTTTTTCTTAAATTTAAAAAAAGTATTGTAATTTCTTAGCGAGTTCTTATGTAATTTAAAAAAGGTATCGTAATTTAAAAAGGTATCGTAATTTCCTCTCATAATTAAAAAAAAAAATTAGTGTTGCTTTGTAGATTTGGCTAGTTGCATTATAAACTATTCAACATGCCAAACATGGATGCCTGAAAATAATATACTAAGTTGCATATTAAGAATGTATGGCCTAAGTTATTTATTTATTTATTCTATTAGCAAGTCAAAGTTATATTTTCATCAATACTCATGAGGGAAGTGTATTACTCACCATATGTTAAAAATAATTTATAATTAATTAACAATATAAAAACTTATACTGATCATACCTAAAAATTAAGCTCAATAATCATTGACTTGATTGAGTGTTTAAAAACGAAAATTTGATCAACTTTTCATGTTGATTAATTAATTTATTATTTTAATAAAATATTTTAAAATTTATGATTTGTACACATTTTATAATATTATGAAACAATTATTATAATATTATTTATGCTAACTAATTTCATTAAACAAAATTGATTCTTTCATGGAAAATCAACATTTAAGCAAAATTGAAATTATATATATATATATATATATATATATATATATATATATATATATATATATATATATATTAAGCTAAACAACCACACAAACTCATATCTTACCTTTGATAAATAGTTCTATAAAAAAAATCAACCTATTTCTTCTAGTCGTGAAAAAATTATTAACCGTCTTGACCATATGTAGTTCTGGATAATTTTCACTTGACATATGGTTAAGAAGAATAAAGAGACAAAAATATTGTAAAAAAAATAAAATCATAAATAATTATTTTGTAAGGTTTGTACCAGAAAAATGGTTGGTGAGAAATATTGGTATTAGAATTATTAGCGGGCAATGGAAGATGTCAATGGACAGGTATCGAATATGTCAAGTTTAGCCTGTTCTGAAACAAAACGTGCTTCTCCAAAGCCAATGGAATCCTCCTTTTCCGTCATTATTTACTTGAATACCTTATTTCATCCGTAAGTCTAAAACAGAAACAAACTTCTAATTTTGGTAACTAATGAATTTTATCGTAAATTACTTTCAACTAGCTAACGCAACGCAATTAATTGAAAAGAGAAACATAGAGTGCACTGCGCTCTACGTACTCAGCACGTAACTCCCCGTTCACAATTAAATTACAACATCAATGGACATCAACTTGATAGTTGATACCTCAACTCACCGATGTAGGCACGTATCGTGCTTGAATTTTTATATAAAAGTAATCCACATCGATGAAAAGCACTTGAGTTAAGAGAGTAAATGCTGTATAGAGGAACAGGGAGAAAGCAACACAAAATATGGGTAAAAAGTCAGAGATTCAGTTAAATAATCTTTAGTTTCTACATTTTACTAGTTGATTTGACGTTTGGATTTTATTGGGCCATCGTAACTTTTGCTTAATGGTATCATTTTTCTGTGAGTTATCACGCTCTGGTAGAAAAGGCCGTGCCAACAATCCAGCTACTACAGCCACTTTACCCACTCCATACAACTTCTTAATAAAGGACACCGACACCTCCAACTGACCACGTTGTACAACTGCAAGCCATTCTCTCTAACAATGGAAATTAATTTAACATCTCTTTTACTTGGTTTAACCATTTTACTCATTTTCATAACACAGTGAGAAATTTGAGGAATCAAGGTTCTCAACGAATCAAAACTTTCTTATTTTCATTGCTACTAATTCACATAATCAACAGTAAATATATCAAGTTCTCCCAACAACTTACCTTGGTCTCAACAGCAAGACTCCGGGGCTTTACATTAACCAATTTGACAAATTATTTCCTTACATTCTTAGTGGAGAAACATAGTAATTAACAAACATTAACGTTGATTAAAACAACCCCGGTCCTCCTCTGCGGGTGACATAACTTTTACTTCGTGGATAAACATTGGGTCTGACCTTGATGACATCATCAACAAACTCGCAGGGCTTGTCTTCGTCGATTCTTCCAATTCCCACGCTGCGACTCCGAGGCATTTTCATTTTCATGGCTGCAGCTTCGCCAAAGTCAAAGCGAGTGCCATAGCTTCTGATTGATGCGGCCCTTATGAGCTCCTTCAAGTCGTCGTCGCTTGCGGTGGCTCTGGTGGCTGAGCCAACGCTGAAGCTTCTGGGAAGCGTGCAAAGTTGGCCGGTGGGGCAGCCCATGGCGGCGTCGACGTTGGATAATTGGGCGGAGCAGCGGATCATGCCTCGGACGTACATGTCCCTGGCCTTCTTCAGGAACCTAAAGGGTGCCTTCATGTAGCTGCTCAATTTGCTCTCTTTCCTTCTTTCTTTCTGTTTTGTCATGGTCGCAACGCTTCCTCAATCCTCCACAACTTATTTAGAGCTTTACCTCTATTTATATATATGTATATATATATATATATATATATATATATATATATATATATATATATATGTGTGTGTGTGTGTGTGTGTGTATGTATATATATATGTATGTATATATACGTTATAAGATGTGAATGCAAAAAAGGTTGCTAGTTACTCTACTTTATGTCTTCTCTCCATCTCTTCACCAGCAGGCTTGTGGGTCGTTAGATCCATCCAATGGCTTAGATTAGAAGGTTGCAAAGTTCCTTGTCCAAGTTGTTTCCCGTGGGTTTTTTCTTCTTTGTTTACATTATGCAGCGATTGCTTTCTCATGTTTGAGAGAAGAGACAGGTCGTTATTTATTTATGTCTTTTTTCTCATGTTTTGTCCAGCCATTGCTTGTGTTTTTCTCGTCGGTAAGAAATAATCAAAGAAGAAAATATAAACTTTTGAATCATATTATCAATTGATTATTATTAGCAATCATGATTGGGCCCAATCATCTATCCCCAGCCCAAGTTCCCCCAAAGTGTGAGCATAAAAAGGCCATATGGATGGCCCAATTCACTTGAGTAATCTTTAATGGAGATGTAAGTCTGTGTTATGCTTCGTTCTCTTTAGATTCTTAAATGAATATGAATCCCACAAAACCATTTTTCATATTTTCATTTCATTAATAAGATGTGCGTGGACCGACAAAAATGTTGGTGCACAAGTTATTGTATAAGCAGCTATTTCTTGTATAAGATGGTGTAGAATGGTAAAATATTACAGGAGTGAGCGGGTAAAATAATGTTTGTCGAACAAGTTTTTTTTTTATACATTTCATCCCAAACTAGGTCTATAAGTCAAATACGTTCACAAATTATACTAAACACACAAGTTTTTCTTGTGTTAGAACAAAAGCCTAATAGTTTTTTTTTTTTCTTGAAAACATATAAAGTTTATGTTCCTTGTCTTCACCCTTAGTTTAACTTTTTCAAATATCTTGTTAAAGTTATTTTTTCCAACCCATACACTCATTACGAAACACCTCATATAGCCTTAATTAAATGCTTCCTAGTGGATTTAAAATTGTTAAATGTTTCTGTCACGGAGTTGAGTTACTTAAAAAAAAAATTCTCAAAATGGTTAGACTCGTATTTCTAAGTGAACCATATAGTTAAGAATATTCCAATCTTACATCTGAGCAACAAGTCACCTTTTTCATTTAAAAAAAATATATAAATTTATTATGTTAATATTAATTTTAAATACAATTATTTGATATATATATATATATATATATATATATATACACATATATATTAAAATATTATTACGGTTTAATATATTAAATATATTTTAACATTCCTAAATAAGTCTAATCAATTTTAAAAAAAATTATGAATTAATATATCAAATCTAAAAACATGAAAATTTGATATTGCATCTAATATTCATAATCAATAATGATGAAGAAAACATTAGAAATCGATAAAAAATAAAAAGCAGACACTGGGCATCAACAAGTTCCTAGTACCAAGGAAGCAGCATGTTAAGATTAAAAAAATAATAAAAATAAAAAAGAAGAAGAGTAAAACTACTACTAATTCACGAAGGGGATTATATGCATTACGAGTAGGTTTCAAAGATTTTTTTAGTATCTTAATTTATAGCTTACTATATATCTGTCATTGTCAAACCATCTAACAACTTTTTTTCAAATTTCACCACCATTGATATCTCTTACTACATGTTTGTAGAAAGTTTGAGCGACTAAATGAATCAATATTTTCTCTATTCTCTCTTTTACACCAAATAATGAGGCACTTCTCATACACAAGTATTAATCAGGAATTTAGATTTAAGACTTATAAGAAACCTTCATTAGAATATATTGATATAACAAGATCACATTATATAATTAGATTGATTTTTTAAGTTATAGAAAATTGAGATAATATATATATATATATATATATATATATATATATATATATATATGAGAAGGTTTAATAAGAAACTATGTTCTTGTCTTTGATAATGTTATACTACATTACTTTAACATTCTTAAATGATAAGATTTTATATAAAAAGAAAAAATTAACCGCATTGGATAAACAATAAATAAAACAATGGCATTCATATAATTTATGTTATGTTAATGGTGGGGTTTTGATATTTGTTTGAAGATGAGGTTTGAGTTGTGTCGAGTCATAATTTTTTTTAATATATATATATATATATATATATATATATATATATTTTGTGATAAAATGAATCTAATTTACTTAATCTATGAATTAAATAGATTTTAATTGGATTAGTGATGAATTGACTCATATTTTTTGTTTTTTTTTAACAGAGATGTAAAATTATGATTAAAAAACTAGATGTTCCCATTAAATTGATTCTTCTAAAATTACTTATTTATCAAATATTACAAACAATAAATGTTAATATTTTTGTTTAATTTTTTAATAATTTATTTTATTTTATTCATATCTGTGAGAAAAAAATATTGTTTTAGTTAGTCAATTCACTTTATTCTATTAATTTGAAGGAAAAAAAAATAGAGGCACAAGATATGTTAACTCACCATACATGATAGATTGAATTGGATTACACTTTTTAATTAAAATTAAATTATGGTGATCCATTTTTAGTTTAGATTATGATTTGCGAAAATGGGATGGACTCACTTTCATACTTTAATCAACTGAAACACAAAAACACAATCTTAATCAATATATTAATATCATAGAAATGACTGATGGATGAAATTTGTAATATTTTAAAAAAATATAAAGAAAAACAAGTTATAAAATTAAAAAAATAAAAGTGTAATTAAACCTTAATTTTACCCAAATTAATTTGCTTACTGTTTGGTGAGGGGTGTTTACAAGAAGTCAAGAATCTGCCCAAAAAAAGAAGAGCTGTTCAGTGGCAGTCCTGGCTGTGTGTGTAGGATGAGCCTTTCCCTTTGGCAGTGCCAGCCAGTGATGCCTTTTCTTCTTCCCACTCTTTCTTCCCCATGCCGGTACGGTCCCTCTTGATTTATCACTCCCAACCCCTTCTTTCTAGTTCCCCCTTTTGCCTCTTCTATTATTTCACCCCTCCTGCAATGCCTCTTTCAACTGTTTGTTAGAACTTTCTACTGCCATTGATTTACTTCTTGTGGTTAGTAGGCCACTGTTCTTCACTGTTTGCTCTTTGATTGGTCTACATTCTTTATTGTTTCGCTGATTTAAGCCCCCTTTGAAGCTTGATTATGTGCTTATGATGTGAAATATGATGGTAATGATTCTTTTGACCATTGAAAGAGATCAGATAAAGCAGATTGAGAGAGAGAAAAAAACTCATTACAGGAGAGAGAGAACAGGAACAGAGTGATTTGTACAATAAAGCAAGTTTGTTGCTTGGAAACTGCTCATGAGAGACTGTCTCGGGAGAGTTTTATTCTTCTTTTACCCACTTCACGTGTGTAATGTCCACTGAAGGGTGCTTCGGTTTCTCATTTTAGTGATTTGGTTTTCTGGTTTCTCTCCAAAGCTGTTATTATTTTTTTTTTTCTCTCGAAGGGGTTTCGGACATGGCAATGTTTCAGCCTTCTTGTAAGAGGGATGGGATCGAGGGCCAGATTCTAGATCTGGACACGGCGGTGAAAGATGGGGTTTTGGGAGGCGTAGATTCTGGGGTTGTGGGGACTGGGGTTGGTGAAAAACTGGATCTTGGGAGAATGATTGAAGAGTTGGACTTGTGTGAAGTTCCCTCTGTGTTCATTTGCCCAATTTCCCTTGAGCCAATGCAGGACCCCGTGACTCTTTGCACGGGCCAGACCTACGAGAGGTCCAACATTCTCAAATGGTTCAGTTTGGGACACTTCACTTGCCCCACCACAATGCAAGAGCTCTGGGACGATTCAATCACTCCAAATGCCACCCTCTACCGATTGATATCTACTTGGTTTTCTCAGAAGTACCTTGTGATGAAGAAGAGATCAGAAGACGTCCATGGGAGGGTGTTGGAGCTTGTTGAAACTCTCAAGAAGGTGAAGGGTCAAGCTCGTGTTCTTGCCCTGAAGGAGCTCCATCAAGTGGTGTCTGTACATGCCACTGCCCGCAAGGCATTGGTCGATGGCGATGGAGTCTCCGTGGTGTCAGCGTTGCTCGGTCCTTTCACTTCCCATGCCGTTGGCTCCGAGGTAATTGGTGTTCTTGTGAGTTTGAACCTTGATTATGAGTCCAAGAGGAATCTACTGCAGCCTGCGCGGGTTTCCTTGATGGTGGACATTTTGAATGAGGGTTCAATCGAGACAAAGATCAATTGCACGCGGCTGATTGAGACACTGATTGAGGGGAAGGATTTCCAGTTGGAAACTTTTAGGAGTCACAGTCTTTTGGTTGGGTTGATGAGGCTCGTGAAAGACAAGAGACACTCAAATGGAATCTGCCCTGGACTGAGGCTCCTCAGAACAGTGTGCTTGCATTCAGAAGTTAAGTGTTTGCTGGTAAGCATTGGGGCTATTTCTCAATTGGTTGAGTTGCTGTCTGGTTTGGAGCCCGAATGTTTGGAATTGGCTCTTTCTATTTTGGATGCATTGGCTTCTGTTCCTGAAGGCAGATTAGCCTTGAAGGATTGTTCTAATACAATACACGTTATGGTGAAACTGTTGATGAGGGTCTCAGAAAACTGCACTCAATATGCATTGTCCATTCTGTGGTCTGTGTGCAAGCTGGCCCCTGAGGAATGCTCATTGATTGCCGTGGAAGCAGGACTTGCTGCAAAACTCCTCCTTGTGATCCAGAGTGGTTGCAATCCTATATTGAAACAACAGTCTGCTGAGCTCTTGAAGTTGTGTAGTTTGAATTATTCAGATACAATCTTCATATCCAAGTGCAAACTTACTAGAACCATTCAATGACCATGGGTTTTAACCTGGTTGTATCAACAGTTTGTAAATTTGTAGGCCAAGAGAAGCAAAGACCAAGCTACTTCCCAGATTACAGAACTAAAGAACCCCAGGAGTTGGCGTGGGGTTACTGGTGCAAAATGCAAATCTCCTGTATATATACCTTTTGTGTTTTGATTCCAACAATTGATATTTGAATGAAGGACATTGACACAACTTGTTTAAGTGGGTTCACTTTTGTGTGTTCCTTCTTGTCCAATGTTATTTCAATAAGCCCCATCAAGAAGATGCTGAAATTGTTTATATAGCTTTTGGGGGGTATATGGATGAAAGATATCATGTTGTTGTTGGATAAAGATACTACTAGGAGAGGGATCATATTCACAGCTAATGTGGAGCTTGTAATTTCATTTGTCATTATTGAGGAGTTGTTTTGCTCCATGGCTTCATTGTATTGTATCTTTTTCCCCTTGGGGTTTAGGCCTCCAATTTTCCCTTTAGAAGAATACTGGGGTTTTTTGGTTTTGACATCAAACATGTAGATGGAGAGACCCTTTGGCTTTCAATTTTCATTTAATCTGTACAATGGAAATAACCATTCTTATGCACTGCACCTGCAACTTCTTCAAGCAAGTCATATTGATATTGTTAATTCTTTGATGACAATTATTGCGTGTCCTTTCCAAGTGAAGAAACTACATCAGCAGCATCCTTGTTCATGTATTAAGTTTTGGTGTGCAGCTAGCGAAATGACCCGAGAGGTGAAAAGAAACAGTGAAAGGTGTGGACAGCAGAGAGATAGCAGGTGAAGTATTCATCACATGTGCTTGAGTTTACTACATTTATTGGATGAGTTGACGTTTGAGTGTGGACATCTGGATGCATGTATGCTAACTTTCATCCTTTTTGTGTCACAATTTGAGGACAAAGTCCAATGTAAAATTACTTCTCACTGAATCACTGGTTGATTGGAAAAGAAAGAAAAGAAAGGATATAGCTTTCACTGAATAGGAACGTTGAATAGCTGTTTGGCCTTAGGAATACCTCCAAATCCGATAACATCCCAGTCTATTTCCCACAGTCATATGCTGGCGCGTGTGCATAATTATATGCATATTTCTCATAAAATTAAACATGGCAATTCTAACTTTTGTTCATTCAGGGGTGGTTGGAAATCCATTTTAATCCAACGTTTAGCAGACCTTGTTTTACACACTTTTTCAAAACAACTACCGAAGAACACTAGTGTTGGATGAATCCTGATTAAAATTTGTGATCTCAGGAGAAAACTGACACCTAGAAAATACCGTTAATATTATTAGGATTCTTCTGATAATAATTTTACTAAACACATTATCTATTATCCAAGTGAATTTAAATTTGATGATTGGAAAGTAATATATAGAGAGAGAAAAAAAAAGTTAAATGGTAAAAGAAAAATGCATCCTTCACGAGTATCTCTTCTCATCGAAAATAATATTTTATTCTTGATCCATTTAAATTTTGATTGAGTCATAATGGTCTAGCTAGCATGTTGAAAATCATGACTAGTCTTATCTAGAGTGAATTTGCAAACCACATGTCAGTCTCTCAAAATTTAAAATTCTAATTTTGTAAAAAAAAATTAAATGGATAAATTTATAAAAAAACATAAAATATATTAATTAAATATAAAATATATTTAAATAATATTTTTATTAATATTAGATGAATTAAGTTTATAAACTAACAACAATAATAAAAATATTTTGAATATTAAAAACACTAATATTTAAAAATAAATAGAGATAATGAGAGAGGATCTTGAACTAAAAAGTTAGTATAATTTTATTTTTATAAAAGTGGATTAGTCCACTTATTTTACCATGACCCACCTTTTTAGTGGAATAAGTCATAAGATGGATTAAACTACCTACATACTATCGGGATTCAACCACTTTATCATCTCTATCACTTATAAAACTCCAAAGATTAAATACTTAATTAAATTTATTATTTATTTTAATTTATATATTTTTAACATAAAAATATTAAGATTCACGATTAAAATTCCAACAAGTGAATTTTACAAAACCTGCATTTTATTAAAAAAAGAAAAAATCGATTTCACTATAAACCATATCAACCAATTATTATTTTTTTGTATAGTTGTTACAAATTTAGATTTATTTTAATAAACCCACGTATCATATCTATTACAAGGTCTTTTTCTTTTCCTATAAAAATGTTATTTTTTATTTTAATCCCTATATATAATTTAAAATTATTTTAACTCTATTACATAATGTTGCTAATGATACCTTTGATGTTATAATTGATTTAATAATTTTGTTTTATGTCATAACTATTAGTTTTAATAAATAAAACTAATAATAAATACGATTTAAAGAAATAGAGACCGAAACTAAAATTTTATCATGAACTACAAAATTATTTAAACAAAAATAAATTGAATAAATTTAACAGCTTATAATTATTAAAGAACAAAGATAAAATTTATGTTTTATTAATATGATTAACATTTACTAATAGTTCGAAGTTCTAACTTCAAAGTTAATGATTTTCGTTTTGAATTGCTGTAAGTTGTAGCTACAAATATATGTGATGATAAACAAATACAATAATTGATAAAAATATATATTCATATATAAACTTCTATATAGTTCAATAATTTTTCTTATAGTAAGAAATTATTAGGTGATTTGGAACTATTAAATATTTATAATCTTGATTAATTTCTACGTGATATATTAAGTTTTCAATTAAATGTATAAAGGAACAATAACACTAAATTTTTTGTCAGTGTAGATATTATTAACATATATCATGACATTTTTAAATCACCTGATTATATTTCCGTTACAAGATCCTTCAAAATGGACGCAAAACGACAGACATATAAAAGGAGATATCTCTTCAAAAGTAATTTTGAAAAAAAAAACACTTATCTTTGTTTTTGTATTTTTCGGCTGATTTAAAGTTCTAACAAATATTAATATTTACCAATTAAATTAAAATTAAAATTAAATAAAAAAATAACTACTTTTTGTATAAACATTTTGTAAAGTTATCTTTAGATTAACTTGAATATTAAATTCTCTATCTCTTTATACATATTTGGTATAAATTTAGACAGAAATGTAATAGACGTTTGTATAAAATTAATTTTTGAGTTTATTTCTCTCGGTTACCACATTTATGGTATTTAACTTTTTTTTATTATATTGTACAAATAATATTTTTCACCAAGTGAACATTTAAATAATTTTAAAAGGAATAACTGATTTTCATTCCACATTGAAGTTGAATACAAAATTGAATAAAATCATAAGATTGGTTAGATGTTTTTAATCTACATAGTTTTTTTTTTTTAAGGTTTTAATCTCCAAATTACTATGTGTTTGGGAGAAGAAAAGAAAATTTCAGACTTAAAAACAAAAAAAAATTAGAAATACTGTTTTTTAACGAAACTTCCTCTAATATTTACTCTTAAAAATTATAAATTTTTTATCAAATTAAATTAATATATATATATATATATTAATAAAATAATATCAATTTTATTTTTATTTAAAAAATATTTTATTATTTTATAAATACTTATCCTATAAAATTATGAAATAATTTAACTTAAATTCATATATTAAATGGACTAAATAAAAATAGTTAATGTTACAATTTTTTACTTAAACTATTTCTGGAATTAATAATATAGTTTATTTTGGTATTCACTGGATAAAAAAATTACCTTAAAATTTTGTTGAAATATTATAATTAAGTACATCCTTGAATTTATTTATTTTTTCATAATTTTTAACAAGGTCCTAACTTTGTCATATTTTTTAATTAGATTCAATACTTTTTTTTTTAACTAAGTCTCCAACTTTATATTTTTAATCAGGTTTCCAGAATTAAATTTTAGTGAACATACTATTTTCTTTAACAAAATATTCTTTCTGGTCCTACTTGGATGACATAATCGTCCTACAACACTTGTAATATCTGCACCATCGATTTTGCAGCTACAACTGTACCTACAACTTAAGGGTCTAGGGATTCGATTAAAAAATATTAATAGAGATCTAATTAAAAGTTTCAAAATATTCGACGATTTACTAAACATTATAACCTTAAAATTGCCATTTATATATACTTATCAAAAATTAAGAATAATAGTAAAGATGATAAATTATTAATTTTTTATAATATAATACTATATTAATTTTAGTGAAAAAGGTTTACATTGTAATATTAGAAATCGGTACTTATACTTTTTTCTTAAGAATATTTCCATAAATTTGTAAAAAAGTAAGCAATTTTATACTTTTATATTCTGTATTATTATTATTATTATTATCATTTAATATTTAGAGGATTCATAAAATTACTTTTGTTAGTAGCTGTGGAAAATAAAGGCATTTTTTAAAGCCAAGTAAGCAAAAGATAATTTTGAATGTGTTTTTAATTATTATAGTTATGATGCTTGTTTTACTTGTATAAAAAGTAGTGTAGGTTTCGAATTTTATAAATTTAATTTTTTAAATAATTTTTTACCATTATTGAATTAACACGGTACGCATTTAAATATATTTTAGTTATCAATAAATAGTTTTATAACTTATTTTTAAAATCTATAAGAAAACCAAGTTTCCCAGAACAAAAACATTTTTTTCTACATTTGCTAAAACCAACAAACATATTAAACCAAGATTATATAATGATTAATATTATTTTATTTTATTTTAAATTGAATGTTTTTTCATTTTAACTTGCTAAGATTGTTATTTGATATATATATATATATATATATATATATATATATATATATATATATATATAATATTATATTTGATATATCATATATTTTTTTAAAGGTAATAGAAGGTTCCAACAATGGACACCGTGTAGTTAGTTGGTCTAACAAGGTTATTATTTATTAATAATGTTAATTACGGGGCACGAAAAGATGGTCAAAGATATGATTAGCTAGCATGAATGTTAAATGCCCCCAGTGGGCACGTGAATGTGTTTAAATTTTAATTGTTTATGCAAGTGGGGACGGAGAAGTTCCTATATATTAAGTGGAAACTCCAACCAATTATCTGTCCTGGGATTGATCATTTTATAATTAAACATCTGTTATATAAAATAATAATTAAATAATATATATATATATATATATATATATATATATATATATATATATATATATATTACTTAAGAACACACAACATAATCCTTTGCTAATTAATAATTAAAAGAATTGCCAAAACATAGTTGTAGAGATTTAAAGCGATTCTTTATAAAATGCAAGAATGACGAAAATAATGAAATATAATACGTGTAACATAACTAGCAGAAAATTAATGTATACTATTTGCTTTACTTTGTGAAGAGACAAAAATTATATTATTGTTTTGCCAAAACTTTCTGGTTTTATTTTTCATAATATTAAGTACTGTTAAAAATATTAAGAAAATACAATAACTATAATAAGATACAAAAATTTAATTAATAAATTACAAAATATAACCTTTTAATTTTATAATAAAGTTTTAAATATTTTAATTTTTATAAAATGAACTACAATTAGTTCATGATAAACATGCAATTAATGCAATTAAAAAAAAAGATAATTTGAAATTACAAAAAAAAGTCTACCAACTAAAAATTGGTGATAGTGTCTACAAAAAGAAATTTCAAGATTAGAAATCATAGAGAAATTTTTATTTTTAATGAAAGAAAAAATATTTGACATTTTCACATTTTGTTTAGAAAAAAAATTGATACTTTATTAGAAAAAAAGATAATTTACTTTAAGTAATTTTGTTTAGAGAAAAAAATGATAAGATATTATTAAAATTTATAAAATAATTTACTATAAGTTATAAAAATTAATATTTTTTATTTATATAACTAAACTTTAAACTTAATATATTTAAAAAGATAGAAAAATATAATTTATTATTAAGGTTAAACTTTTGAAATCATTTGAATCACATTAAATTTGATTTAAACATTAGAATAGGAAGAGAACTTGATTTGTTTGCATTAGATAGAATATACTTTTAATATAATAAATATTTGTGTTAAGTATAATTAAAATATTTAATTTAATTTTGATATATTAATAATTAAATGATTGATCATATTTAGAAGAAAAATTATTAATTTTATATTAATATATATTCATTTGTGTGAATTTAATGTTAGATAAGTTAAAATAACTCATCCAAATATTATTCAAAATTGATTGAAGAAAAACTTTACAAACCTAACTATTATGATAGTTTATCTTTATAATGATAAAATAATCTTGTAGACAATCGATATTTTCTTTAATTAAAACTATATACATTAAAATGGTTCATATAGGATAAAACTAGTTATTTTTTCTATTTTAAATAACTTTATGTTAGTAATATAATTCTTTAGGTAATAAATGATATTTTAAAAACTGATATTATATTTAATTAATATTTGTTCTAGTCAAAGTTTGTAAGATGGGTTTGAAGACCGTAACCAGATAATTTGATATTTGTTGTCTTATTTTTTAATTTTGTAGTCTATTTATAACTTAAAATTTATCATGGTCAATTGTCCTCTCAGATAAGATATTTTTCATGATATAATTTATTTCTTATTTTTTTAATTATGAAATCCTAATTTTTTTTGTTATGGAATTATAGTGTCGGGGATCCCTATATTTAAGGAATCACTTTTAACTTCTCACAGACTATAATAGTTGGTACCTTAAACAAATAACAAAGTATCACATACAACATTTGATTCCTATTAGTCTAATACCTTGCGATAATAACTGACCATTAAGTAATAAGACAATATCCCAAAATGATAGATCAATATAACCCTATACAGTCAGATCAAACTAGGTACAATATTATTTATCTTAAAGTATATCTTAACTATAACTATATTTTCTATTTTTATAATTTGATTATACAGAATACTAATACTGTTATATTATATACACCCATTAAAAAACTAAATTTAGCTTAAATAAATTTTATAAAATATTTTTTATAAAATTTATACAAATTTTTGTTTTTAGTACTCAATTTTTTTTTCTTTAAATTAAATACCTAATAAATAATGAAATTTTGTCTCGTGTGTATAATAATAATATTTATTTATATTTTGATTCTTTTATTATATTGACTTTATTAAATAATATATCTGTTAATACATGTAATAAAAAAAATTAATATATGTCAAAGTTGCATACCATTTACATGTGTTTTGTTTTGATGCAAATAACTAATGGAGATACTTAAAGCATTTTTTTAATTTAGATATACAATTACAAAAAAATATGAAAATACTACAAAAATTTCAGACCTAAAATTTATCTGCCTAAACTTTAGTAAGGTCAAATTTAAATTGTAAGAATTAATGTTTTGGATCATTGAACAAAAATTAAAGTCTTCCTTTGACATCAAACAAAGGCCAAGAGATGTGAAGGAACTCGAAATGAAAACAATATCCATGGCAAAAGCATTCGCGGTCAATCCCCGTTGCCAATTGTCAGTCCCCTCTGAATGCGACAGGGCATCACCTACAAGACAATACCCCTCAGGCGGCTATTTTTTTCTCTGTTCCATTCTCTCTCGTTTTTAATTAATCACTCAACTCATCTTGAATCTGACCTCAGTCCTCAGACTCTCACCTTAGAGCACAGTAGAGCAAGACTTCAGCGCACACATCTATATATGGTTGGCTTTGCTGTGATATTGTTCTGACAACGACAAATTGGGAGCCATTTTCTAAACCTATAAACGCTATTATTAATTGCTACTTCATCCAACTCATTATTCTTTTGACCACACACCATTGGTCATGTCACTGCTTACATATGGATATATTTTATTCTATCCGCAGACGGTCAGGACAAAATCCACGTTTGAATTTATTCTACGGATCCAGATTCATTCCTCGGCTGCCTCATCTTTAAGTCGTTGGTCTTTATGGAAATTCAATACAACACGCGATAATCGTTGCCCACACTCATAGAAATCCATAAATATACAACACAACGGTAAGTTACGATACTCTCTTAGTTGGTCATATATAACAGATTGTATATAACTATATATATATATATCTTCATAGTCCATCAGTTTGTGATCACAATTGAATTATATTACTGCACTCATCATGGAAGCATATTCTAGTTCTTTTTCATCATCCAGCTCTTCACACTTGACCCAAAACCGTGATGAATCGAAGGGGCTGAAGCAAATGTACCCTCTTCAGTCTCACAAAACCTGGCTCCATTCCGTCAGGAAGTCATCGGCAAAGCCGTGGAAGAAGGCACCAGTGGCACCGATGCCACCAACACCAGTGAAAGTGTACCAAGTAGACGCTATAAACTTCCGAGACGTGGTTCAGCAGCTCACAGGTGCACCCGATCACAAGCCCCAGCCAAATATCGTCGCACGTTCTGTCACTTCCTTTGGTGTTCCTAATGTGCCCCCACAACAGAATGAGCCAAGCGGAGACACGTGCACTAAATGGTACCAGGACTTGGACTTTGGAATGAATTTGCTCTCACCAATTCTTTTAGTAATTTCTGTTTCTTTCCTCTGATGAGCCCGAGAGGTGTCACCAGTTTCGAACCAGGGAAGGTTCTCTAGGTTTTTAATTATGACATTTTCTGCTTAAACCAGTCTATATTCTCTTGATATGTACTTCTATTCCATCATCTACTTTTTTTTATTATTATTTTTTATTGTTACAGTTATATTATCCATCTTCAACCTTCAACCTTTTTGGGATTTTAGTCAAATACGAACAAAATAGCCAAGTAACTGTTGCCAGTCACTAAATTCTATACTGTCCATTTACTGTGAGCTTGTTTACCTTGGTTATCTATATTTCTCTTTTGTTTCGTCCAAAATGTTGTCTTTATTAGCTTCAACCTAAAGAAAAGTTCAGGAATCATTAGCTAGCTTCTGATATTGGTTGTTCATAGATGAAGTGTTTCTGCGGGTTTGACTTTAAAAGTTCTCTTGAACGATATTGTATTAGAGTTTATTAATTGAAATTAACTTGAAAAATGAATCTGAAATATTGTATGGAGGTCAATTTACTGCATATTTGTGCCTAATTATGTCTTAAACTATATGGTTATGTCTAATTTAAATACTGACTATTTATGTCTAATTACCTACTGATTTTACCCTAGATAATAGGCTAAATACTAATAAAATTTAAATATTCTTCCCCAAAGACATGATTTTGGAGAAACTAATATTGTTCTAAATAAATCAAGTTTCACATCATTCAAATTATCCACAATCTAAAATCATTAACAATTTAAAAAGTATAAAATTATATATATATATATATATATATATTTTTTTTTTTTTGATCCTGCATGAAAAATCATATTACATTATAAAATTCAAATTTTGTCAAGTATACAATAAAAATAAATATACTGTAATTATTATTAGATTAAGGAAATTGTCATTGACATGATTCGAACCCAAGTACTTCGAGTTGGAGGTTGATACTCCAACCATTAAACTATTAGGATATTTTAATTATAATTTACAAATAAATTATATTTATATTTATCCGTGTAAATATATAAATATAAAATATATTTATATTTTGATATATTTATATATTTGTATTTATATATTTGTATTTATATATTTATATTTATATATTTATATTTATATATTTATATTTATATATTTATGTATTTGTGTATTTATATATTTATATATTTATCTATTTATATATTTATGTATTTATGTATTTATATATTTATGTATTTATGTATTTATATATTTATGTATTTATGTATTTATATATTTATGTATTTATATATTTATATATTTATATATCTATATATTTATATATCTATATATTTATATATCTATATATATTTATATTTATATATTTATATATTTATATTTATATATTTATATATTTATATTTATATATTTATATATTTATATTTATATATTTATGTATTTGTGTATTTATATATTTATATATTTATCTATTTATATATTTATGTATTTATGTATTTATATATTTATGTATTTATATATTTATGTATTTATATATTTATGTATTTATGTATTTATGTATTTATGTATTTATGTATTTATATATTTATGTATTTATGTATTTATATATTTATGTATTTATATATTTATATATTTACACGAATAAATATAAGTATAATTTAGTTGTAAATTATTATTAGAATATCCTAATAGTTTAGTGGTTGGAGTATCATTTTTCAACTTTAAGGTACTAGTTCTTGTTAGTGACAATTCTTTTAGTTTAATATAATTTACCTACGGAATTATCTACGGATTACATTACCATCCGTAGGTAATGGATAATTACCTACGAATAGAATTCCGTAGGTAATGTAAAATTTACCTACTGGATTTTTATCCGTAGGTAATAAACTTTTTTTTGTAGTGTATTTTGTCCGTTGTTTTTTAAATTTTATTTTTTTATTTATATCTTAAATAATAAACAATTTATTGACACTTTTTTTTAATCTAATTCTTATATTTTTAAAGATATTAAAATAAAATAAATAATTAATTATGATACTAGAAAGAACTTGTACCACCTAGATCTTGAGAGGAAAAAGAAAATGATGAGTTATAATAAATTTTAATAATTGATAATTATAAGGAAGAAAATCAAAATCTAAAATTTAATTGTGTTATTGACATCTTGATCATGCGAAATTTGAGTATTTAAAAATATCATTTCTTATTTTATTTAAAAAAACATGATATATCCAATTTCCTTTGTCATGCCTGAGAATTAGTAAATAATTAGTAAATAGTGATAAAATTTCATCTATGATTTATTTTAAATTTAAACTTTAGATAAATATTATTGATTTATTATTATTTATCAATCATTATATAAGAATGACTCAATTGAATTTGATAAAATAAAAAAATTAGGTAAATTTATTATTTAAATTTTTTTATAAAATGGCAATAATTTAAAATAATGTTTAAATTCAAATTTTATATAATGTAGTGATGAATATAAAAATTGTGAATTCCAATAATATTTACAAGATAATAAAATATTAATAAAATTACTTATTTCAATATATATTTCTAAAAAAATTTGACAATTTCAAAAATTTATTATTTTAAAGTTTTTATAAAATGGAAAGAATTATAAATAATGTTCAAATTCAGGTTTTATATAGTAATAATGATGAGAAATATAAATACTGTGAAATTTAATAATATTTAAAAAATAATAAAATTATTAATAATAGTACTTGTCTCAATACACGATATCTTTGAAAGAAAAAACCTATTTTTATCTACTTATTAAAACTTTTTTTTATAAGTCATGGAATATCTAATAAAGAAACATATCATAAAGATCAAATTTCTGTTAAACGAAAAACCTACATAAATCACCTTTGAATTTCTTAGAGAGTTATATTGCACTCATAGGTAGGAGTGTTAATTTATAAGATCATATTCGAATCCAAGTACCTTAGATACTCGATACTCCAACTACTAGCTACTAAGTTTTTCTAATAAAAATTTACAAATAAATTATATTTATATACGAGATAAATGTATATCCGTGTAAATATATAAATATAAAATATATAAATAAAAATATATTTATATATTTTGATATATTTATATAGTTATATATTTATATGTTGGATGTCGGGACGCGCTCAATGGTGAAAGTGTGTGTCGTGTTTATTAGAATATATTTAAAATTAAGTAATTATTATATAAATTTAAATATTTAATTTTTTAATTTAATGTTAATTTTTAAAAATATATTTTAAATTCGTTGGTAAATGAACAAATAATTACCGATAAATATATCTATCGGTAACTAATTGTTCATTTATCAAAAATATAAATTTACCAACGGATATATCCGACGGTAATTATTTGTTCATTTATCGACGGATTTACCGTCGGATATATCCGTCGGTAATTATTTGTTTATTTACTTGCAGATTTACTGATGGATATATCCGTTGGTAACTATTTGTTTATTTACTGACGAATTTATCGACAGATATATCCGTTGGTAATTAATTGTTCATTTACCGACGAATAAGACCAAATTTCACAACTATTTTACATTCATCGGTAATTTTCATCGGTAATCACTTATTTTCCGATGGATACATATTTGTCGGTAAATATCCGTTGATAATTTAAGATTTTCTTACCGTGAAATCGATTAATTTAAAATTTTTCAATCCAAAAAAATATCCATTTTGATTAGATTTTGGTTTTGCTATATTTATTTTTTATTTTATTTTTTATTGCTTCACTTTTGAAAATCTCTTTTACTGTAATAAGAAGATGAACTTATTTTAAAATAATAAAACTTAGATATTTGTTATTTATCCACTAAGGACAAAAAAAGAGTAGATACTAATGTATTTACAAAATTAAATACAAACCAGATGACACAATAGAACAATATAAAATAAGACTTGTGATAAAATGATATAGTGAGACATATGAAATTAATTACATTGATATATTTATTTTTTCATGTAATAAAAATTAAAATTGTTAGGGTATTATTTGTCTTTGGCAACAAAACCTGGGTTGGTCATTGAAATAATTTGATGTAAAAAATATGTGGATATAAAACTCCTACTGGACTGAGTGGTACACAAAAAACAATAAAAAATATATGCAAATTTTTTTTTTAATGAGTTGAAATAATCTTCAATAACATGATTTATGAAGTTTACAAAATATACCACTAACCAAAGTAAGTTAGGCTATATTATTTTTAAAAAAATAAGAAGATAAGATGATCACATTTGTTCTATATATAGATAATATGATTGTTATAAAAAATGATGTAGAGAAAAGTAAAACATTATACGAATATTTATGTAAATAATTTGAAGTATTTAGATTCCAAAAAACAAATTTTCTGTCTTAAAGTAAATATATCCAATAGACTTATTAGCCAAGTATGTTAACTTGTACGTCACTGAATATATCAATGGAAGGATGTTTCCTATTTGATAAATTGAAATATTAAATATTTGTATAGAGATTGATGTACTTAATATATCAAAAATTAGATTTTATTTATGTATTAAGTATTTTTAGTCAATTTATGCATGATTACAAAGAGAAACGTATAAATATAGTTATGTATATTTTAAGATATTTAAAATCAATACTTGAAAAATGATTATTATTTATTAAAAATACAAAATTTTAATAAATAGATATATATATTGATACTAATCAGGTTTGATAATTAGAAGATAGATAATAAGCATCAAATTATTTTACATTTGTTTACAGTAATATTAGAAGAGAACAAAAAAACATAGTCTTTCAATTAAGTAAAAAGTTAAGTTTAGATATTTAATATTTAAAATGTATGAAGATTTATAATTAAGATTTAAAATTAAGTTTATGATAATTAAGTCTTAAGATTTAATATAGTCTTTCAATTATAATTATTTAATATTTAGTATTAATATTTAATATTTAAAATTCAATACAACCTATTAAACTATACTATGATATGGCGTAAAATTTAGTATGATGTGATTGAAATAAGTTTTTACATTTGTTAGAATTATTTTGTTCACCGTACTAATTAGTTAATATCTTAATAAAGATTTTATTACACAATCTTTTTTTCCTTTTATTTTTTTATAAAATATTATTATTATACATATTATGTAACAGTTTATTAAAATTAATATAATTATGAATTATTATAGTTTTCAAGGGAGTTCCATGTACATATTTGTACAATTTAATCTTATAAATATATTATCCATATTATATTTCATAAAAAAAATATGTTTATTTTATTTTTTTCAAATTTATCCATATTCATATTTATTTAATGACAGAATATAATTTGTATAATTTTATTTATATAATAATATAAAATAAATTTGGGAAATGCGTCATTCGCTCTCAAGTGAAAAATATCAATTTTCGCTCAAACGAGGCTTGAACGAGTGAATTTGCGTGAACTTTAATGTATTTTCACTCAAGCGAGAGTTAATCCCACTTTCACCCTCATCGAAAAATACCAATAGAATTTATTTGTAAGTTATTATCAAAAAATTATAGTAGTTTAGTGGTTGAGATATTAACTTTCAACTCTAAAATACTCGGGTTCAAATGTTGTCAATATGACAATTCTTTAACTAATTTTTGGCTGAAAATAAAAATACTTTCTAGAAAATATATATAAATAAATATGTATTTACACAAATATATATTTATTTGTATATAAATATAATTTATTTTTAAGTTATTATCAATTTCCAATTTTAAAATTTTGGGTTCGAATTACGCCATTGACAATTTTCAATTTTAAGTGAATTTTTTGGTGAAAAAAAAATAAAAAGACTTTCTACATCGGTTGACGATGTAGAAAACATAAACGATATAGAAAACATATTTTATAGTAGTGATAGTTAATCAATACTTAAAAAATCAATAATAATATATATATATATATATATATATATATATATATTTATTTATTGATGCTAATCACGTTTGATAATTTTTTTTTCAAATTTATCCATATTCATATTTATTTCATAAAAAATTAATTTGTTTTTTTCAAGTTTATCCATATTCATATTTTCATAGATTCATCTTCGATTTATAAAAGAAAAGATATAATCACTGTATTTAACATATATGAGAACTACTATATTTACAATTGATATGCAATGAGAATAATATGTACATACTATTTGTTGAGGAATAACTGTGGATTAAAGCATCTTAATGTCTAATGGGGCGGAAATTTTTAGATAGACACACAAGCTGAGACCATAGCATGCTACCCAGAGAAAGTCTTGGTCTAACCTGTGTACTGCTCTTGGTTTCATGCAAGCTACTTTTACTGCTGGATGGTGATAAAGATTTAAGGACCATGTAGGGTGAGTTGTAATTTGCAACAACGGACCCACCAGTCTCTCTTCTCACCAACTCTGCTATATTTGGATTCACATCTTCACCTGAACAATTTGCAACATGGAATGATCCTGTTGCTGTCTCACCTTCTACTCCTATATCCATCTTTGTTATCGATAGTCCATTCTCACTAATCACACGTGTCACCTTTGAAAGTAGTCCCGCTCTGTTTTCAGTGTGAATGTCCATCTTCAATCCCTGCGCCAATTACTTTTATTACCATTATTTTTTTTTTTTTTTCAAGAAAACTAGTTATCACAATCACCAACCAATTTTTCATGCAAGAAAGATAGATGAAAAAACAAAATCTTTGAAGTGGGGCTCAAGGGAGATACATGAGAGACTCTGCGCTCTATGGCTGCGATTAAGCATAGGCTGAGTTTTTGTCTCTCGCTTTCATTGTCCAACTTCAAACTACCTTTTGGTCTTACGAAGTACTCCTGCGTCACGTGTCCATTAACGTTAACATTAATATCACCTCCAGAACAGGAAAATTCTATATATTTGTGCAGTATGAATAATATCTATGATGCCTAGCACCTCTAACCATAAGACGTGCTAAAATATGTACACTTGAATAGCAAAATATGGATACGTATATCCAATTATAAACATCATATTAGACTTATCATATTATCTTCATTTCCCTTATTCTGATTAAATACTAAATAGAGTTTTATGTTCACCAATGTTTTCTTGCTTTTTTTAATATATTTATTGTCTAACTGACATGTTTATATAATATCATTTTTCATTTCATAATTTCAATTGATAGCTAATAATTTAATTTTCATTTTTAACCATAAAAATATATTAGTATAAATAGAGTTTAGATCAAGGAGTAAGTAGAGTAAGTTTGGAACTTCCATTTAATCATTTGCAAACTTTTGTTTTGTACTGAAATATCGCCCTTTCTCTCTAAATTTTCGGGGTAAGAAGATTATTTAATTTCAAACATTATTATTATATTTTTTTACCTTTTTAATTACTAAAAATATTATAAACACAATTTAAAATAATTATTTTTAAAATTAACTTTAATTTGTAAATTAAAATAATAATACACAAATTTTATATTGATTAAAATTTTCTTCATGTCCGCACTGATTTATTTTAGTTCTTCCACAAGGATGCATTCTCATCAAATACATAAAATACTTTTTATTAAAAAAACGACTTTTATTCTTTAACTAACTTCTTATTAACCAAACCTCGTAGATTAAAAATAAGGTAATGTATTTGAGATTCATAATTTTTCTTACCGTAACTTTCTTCAAAATATATTATATTATATTATATCGTTTTTTTGGAATAAAGAATGAAGTACCTGGTCGGCCATGGAGGTGTTGGAGCTAACAGCGGCGTGAAAAATCTCGTACTGCATGTAGGTGAGGACGCAGACAGTATCAAACAGAAGCTTAGGGCGGTCCCTGCACCTCACGTTCACCACCCAGTACTCTTTCTCTTCGTACCTACCCACCGACACCTCTATCCCCTCACGTCTATTGTTCTTCTTCTGGCCGAGGCATGCGCCGCACCTCTCGTAATCTCCGTCGTCGTGCATCATCTGGTGGAGTCGCCGCTCTGTATGGTTGCGCCCGGCAGCGAAGCTCCTCAGCCTCAGCCTCACTCTCTTCCTCTCCTCTTCCCCGATTTGGGCCTTGACCACGTTCTGGAGTTCTTCCTGCACGTGGGCTAAAAGTTGGAAGTCGTAGATGGGCCCAAGTTGGTTTGCGTCCTCTAGATGGATGATGCCGGCAGCCCTGTCTTTGTGGGTCCATGCCGTTGCGGAGCTAACGTTGAAGCCCAGGCCCAGTAGAGCAGCTGATACATCTAAAAACAGGCCCGGCTGGTCCGTCGTGGTCAACTCTATGGCCAAGTTCTCCACCGACGACACTTTTGATCCTGGTAGTTCATTGCAACTTTGCAGCTCTACGTCGCTTGAAATTCCTCTGCTGCTTCTAGCCTCACACAGTGCCTATAAAATCACTTAATTTTAGATTAATATGGATCTTTATCATTTTTTTTAAAAGTAAATAATATATTATTAATAAATAATAAATAAATATAAAAAAAACTAAAGAAATAAGAAGATAAAATTATGAATATATAAATAAAATATATTAAATAATTCTTAAATTTGGAAGACTAAGTAACCAGTTAAAAAAATCGGCTGTTAATAATATAATTTTGGGCATAGTATATTTTTACTTTGATTCATATATATAAAAAACATTAAATTGGTTTTGATACAGACAAACAAAGTAATAATATCCATATATATATATATATATATATATATATATATAAACTAATTCGATAATATTTTAAACATAAAAATAAAATGGAGAATTTGTGAGATTGTAGGAGATTGATTATATTTTGAGAGTAGGTTATAAAGTTGAGTGTGGAAAAGATGGGAAAGACAGAGAGAAGCAGTGACCTGCTGAATGTAATTGACGAGGCAATTGTCAGTAAGCTTGTGTCCAACTTGATCCGTCACGTGGAACGCTGCAAAGTTCAGTCAACAGTGACCCATCAAGGAGACCCTAGTTCATTCATGCTTGCATCCACACTTTTATTAACAAATAACCTTTATAAATTACATGGTTCAGAAATAAACTAATATAGCTTCTTCCTTAGTCTTGATATTGTAAAATTATATTAAGTTAATCTTTAATTCTACATGGGCTAATTTAACTTTTGAGATAATTAATTAGATCTCTATCTTAATACACTTAAAATAATTTAATTGTGTAAGTCAGGGCCTAAATTTTGTAATACTTACCAATTTTATTTTTAAAGGAATACAAAAATATATCTAACTCTTGCTAATCGTACTTGATTCTTCCTTGTAATATTTTTTTCCTAATATTATTTACTATTGTAAAGAGTAATGGCCAAAATTATGAACTTCAACACAATTGAATAATTTTTTTTTAACATCTATAGTCGCGCGTATTAAAAAAGGTTCTACGAAGTTGTGGTGGTGGCAGTCATAAATAATATAAGAAACTAGTTTCTAGGAGAGACATTAAGTTTATATATGGGAAACATGAAAGACTTTGTAGAACATGTATGAATTGGTGAAAATTATAAATATGAAACTTTATTCAAGAATAATTTTCTCCACGTAAGACACAAGAGGAGATTAATGTGTCAACACATTTAAGTTAAAACTGAGAAGAATTTTTAGCAAACGAGAGATTTGAAGCTAAAAAAGCATTGAAGAGTAAAAAATAAAAATGTCGAACAAGAGAATGTATCACTTTGTTTTTAATTCAACCTACTAAATTTATCTCCCCCATTTTTTCATGAAGAAATTTTAGAGTTAATTTTTTTTTAATTTAGAATTTAAAACATTCTATAATAAAATATGTTATTTAATTAAAAAAATCATAAATATGATTTGATTATATAAAAGAAATTTTTAAATTTTTATTTAAAAAAAATGAAAATTTTCATATATTTCTCACATCTACATTTTTTTTTTCTTTTTATACTCCCTGCTCAACTTGGTGAGTGCATCATGGGCTTCGATTAGAACACTATCAGCTTGACTAAGATTTGCAAGACATTATTTTCCTTATACAATGTTGTCTTTCTAATTTTCTTTGTATTGTATTCACTCCCATCTTTTTTTGTTTTAACCACTTCATTTTCTTTATTTGCCGACGTCGTAATTTTTTAAAATGATTCTCATGATGTTTTTATTTTTCAGAATGGTCTTAATAATGATATCTTTTTCTCATTTGCTCTAATATATATATTCTTTGATTCCTATTAGTGACACGCTTTTGCAGTGATTTTATTTTTTTACCCTTGACTAAAAAAATCTTCCATCAACTTCTTATTTTGAACTAAAGTGTTATGTTCAAGTTGAGAATACTTCAGTCTTTGTTAAGGACTATTTGTGTCCACAAATTTCTTTTCTTATTTTTTTTTTAGAAATGATTATAAAAAGTTTCTCCAACCACTTAAATATAACTCTAAGCAACTACATGAGGATTAAAGATTAAAGGTGGTGCAGGATTGTGGCATGCAAATATCAAAATGTCTAGACTGCATGATAAGGGAGGCATACTAACCATCCATTAACCATCCACCATCAGAAGAAATGTATGATTTGGAAATGACGAGATCAAGATCTGTCAACACCTGCACCATCTCCAATAATATCCCATGTCTGTTTGCACAATCAATCTGTTTCAGAACACCCTACACCTTATTAGTTCAAATTAATATATTTGATAAGTAATAGATAAAGTCAAAGCCTTTCTACCTGGTAATTTGCTCGACCTCTTCACTGTTTACGACTCTATTTGGTTTGTAGGAAAAATAATGATTGCTTCAATTATCTTTGAGCAGTAGTTATGTTATGATATATGCAAAATTTAGAGCTTGGTTTAGGAGAATAAAAGCTTGAATATATAGTTAAGCTCTTGCTATTATATTACATTCTAATATATTAATTGAATAAGCTTAGGCTGAGAAATCTCCATGTTGGATATTTATCTATCTTTTTAACGTGTACTGAGTTATTCCTTATCTTAACGCTCAGTGATTCATCATTCTCGGGCTGGTTTAAATTTGTGGGGGAAAATAGCGGGGCTCAGCACATTCATATTCAACTATTATGAATAACTATCTCACACGACTGTTTTGCATGTGATTTAACATAATAGACAATTAAATCTAACCTTCACCACTGTGCAGTCTCTGCAGGAATCATTGTCTATACAGACCCTGCTCGTGTTGAACAAGAAACATGTAAAATACAAGAGAATTTTCAAATTGATGGAAAAACGTATTTTATTACTGTTTTTCTTTCAAGTGATTAACTAAACGTTGATATTAAATTCATTAATCTTATATATAATCTATATTATGAACCAGATGAAATAAAAATAAGCAAGTGTAGAACTTCTTTCGGTAGGAACAAGAAGATGATGAGATGTTAACACTAGGAAAAGTTGAACTAGAACCTGGGTGGATGGATTCTTTCCATGAGTGATTCAATCTCCCTGTCGATGTGAGCCTGGTAAGTCATCTCCATCTTACACTACGAAGGTACACCTTCAGTTAGAGTTTGTTGAATTTTGTTCGACGATCTATCGTGGAGTTGTGCATGCATCTATAGAGATTCCCAGGCTGTAGTTAGAAGCGTTCAAACTTAAAAACGCATGGCGAAGAAAGCGTGTACACATAAAAACAGCATAAGGACAACATGGCAATAATGGAGCGCTGTTTTTCTTGTTCTCTAAGTGATCACACAGAAACCCGAAAAACAAGAAAGTGATTTATAATCATTAAGATTGGAACCTTGCCGTCTTAGAATTTCCCTTTGACTTGGAAAAATAATTAGTTTAAGACAGGGAAACTGTATGGTGATTGTATGGCAATAAAAAGAGCAAGAAGCTAAACCTATTGCTTATGAATGTATACAGCATTAATTTACACTAAATTCTTGTAAGAAATTTCCGTTGATGATAACTCTGCAGGGTCCATTGGCACAGGAAACGTAAAAATCTCGGTGATGCATGGAGATGGAATAGAGGTTTCCATTGGTAGGAGGGTGGGGATAGTAGGAAGAGGGTGCGAATGCCAAATGTTTATATTCTATATTCTACCTTTAGGCGTGTACATTCAGAAATAGATGTGTGCATTTATGTATTTACTATTTAGTAGTGGAATGAAACCGTGTTTGTATGTGCCAACGGTGGAAAACCCTACAGAAAATATTGCACAACTTTGCCATTATCATGGTTTTTTCTCATGCTAACATCATCCTCGTCGTCACTATTTATAAAAATAAAACAAATCATCATACCCAAAATGCACCTATAACTAGTCCTCACTGATTTCACTGGACTTTAATGATTTGAGATCTATCTCTCGTATTTGCACACCTCAGCAAAATTTGAAGGTATACACATGTGGTACGTTTATGTTGAAAATGTAGCAGTCGGGTAAGTTGTAAATGCGGAAGAGTTTGCCTCACTCACGAATTTATGATGTGGTCGAGAATCTGTAACGCGAAAATATGGCTGGTGTGTGTAGCATCATCTAGTCTTCGCTATCTTTCTCTTAACAAAGGCTTATAAATGTTGACTGTGGACCCTTCTTCTTCTTCTTTACTTTGGCTTTTGTTCCAGTCAGTGACTTAGACACACCATAAATCAATTCTCTACTTGGAATTTGAGACCGCGGTCTTTGAAAACGTAACGCTTGCTTAAATTTGTGTTAGTAAAATTTTACACATTAACCAATCAAAAATCGCAAGCATGATTATTATAGAACTCAATGAACCTATGTGGTGATTAAATTATCGGGTAAAATTATTGTATAGTATTAGTTTATTGTCTATTTTAACAAGTTTAATGACTATGTTTATATAAAATCTTATATCTATTAATCCATCAAAAGTTTTCATGTGTATAATTTTTAAGCTAGTATTATAAAAACAATGCATTTATTATATATCATTATTTAATTGAATAATAATGTAAAATTATTTCTCATTTTTTTCTGTTATAATATTTAATACGAAAAAATAGGTTTTAATGATGTAAAATAAATTTTCATTTTATTATTTAATCATAAACAATATAATGTATAGTGTTTTTATTCACATTTATAACAGTTACTTGAAAAATCGTGTTAAAATTATATCAATATTGTTTGATAGTTTGAATTGTTTTATACTATCCATATATAACCGTTATAAATTATTGTATTATACTTCTTCATTTTTCAAATATTTGGAAAAAAATTATTGTCCTAATTAAGAAAATTAGTTGACATTTAATTGGAAAGTAAATATTGTTCTATATGTCATCTTTTCTTAGAAGTTGATAGATATAAAGAACAAAAGAGATATTGAAAACAAAAAAACTCCAACTAAATTAATGACATTTAAGAGATTTATTCTCTCATGAAATAAGATAATTAGTTGAGATGCTTACATTTGAGATGTTGCAAATGATAAATATTTATTTTTAGATAATACACTCAAATATATTTTTAATAATTTATTTGCAGATAACCTCTAACAAACTTTAACTTTTACATTAATAATTATTTAACAGCTATGTCTCATAGCTACGAAATATTAACATTTTATATTATACTAGCTCAGTACTCATTCATAAGAAAAAATAATAATAACTTCACATAAAAAAATCAGTTAAATGCATTAAATTTTACTAACTTCTTAATATTTTTCTTAAAATTCCCTTATCATAATATATATAATTCAAGGTCTACGCTAATTAAAGTTAGAATATTTTAACAAAATTATCATTAAATGAAGTAAAAATATTTATTTTTTAATAAATGAAAACGAAAGTAGTAATTGTTAATAAATATACGCTAATAAAAGTGTTTTTGAGAGTGAATAATTTATAAACAAACACAATACAATATTTTATTCATCTAATTTCAAATTGACATGTAATAAGTTTGTTAACTTTCACTACTAAAATTTTTTATATTTCGTACAATTTTACCGACGAAATTTATGCAACTTTTTCATCGAAGAAGCACAAAAATTCACATTTTTAAATCGTTTACTTGATCCAATTAAATTTGAATGAATGAATCAACTAGTTGAGAAAAAGGGAGATGTTGTGCATCAACCCTTTCAATGAATATCTTTCAAGAAGAAGAAAGTATGAGAGGATTACCAAATATGAAACTGAGCATATGGGAAGATATATTTCATTTATTTTTTAAGAAATAGGAAACAAGAAACATGCTCAGTCATTTGATGGAATAATTGATCCAGTCTCTTGTTATTTTGAAGAAACCATTCTATTGCTTTGTTAGTCTATAGGTTCTTCACACTTTAGATTAATGTTTAAACTAGTAGAGTTGTAATACTTAGAATAACTTATATACCTATTTATTGGCGATGACTTACTGGCAACGCTTGATCACAAGTGAGTCATTACATTGTTAATAAAAACAAGCTCCTCTTAACAATAAAGAGTGTTGAGGATCTAGTGGTCTAAGACGGGAACACACTTAAGGTAATGCTTACCTGAAATAACTTCTATACATTGCCAATTACTTATTGGTAATTCTTGGTCATGGGTGAGCCACTATCTTTTTAATTGAAGAAGCTTTTTCTATGATTAAAGTCATGTTACCGTACACAAGCTCTTGAATATAAAGAAACAAATAACTACTCTGACCTAAAGTAATGGGCCCTGAACATAGAAATCCATCCAATTCTCATCAACCATATATAATCAAAGCCTCATTACGAGAGGTATGTACATTAATTACAATATACTTTAAGAGTGTACGTTAACTTAAACATGTGCCTTATGTACCTCACTGTCGTTGACAAGTTGGATTGTGGAATTGAGATCAAATTAATCACACCAAGAATGAACCTTCAATGGTTTAGATTAACATGTTAATTTTTTTAATTACCTCATTCATAAATAAGGATGTATGTATGTACCCAACCCAATAAAACAGAGTTTAGAACAAACGTGTCTAGGAAGGTATGTAATCCAACGAAGACATATTTTCAAGATTGTGTGGATTGGATTTAGCCTAACCTTTATGGGAGTGGCCCAATTATGTCTTCTATTGTATAGGTTTTCCCTTGTGATTACCCAAGCTTCTTGGTTCAGTGTGGAACAACAAAGATCATAATTGCTAATTTCCAATAAAAGGATTGGAGTTGCAGTTGAGTGATTATATACCTGGAAGTGGAACAAGTGAATCTTCCAACTAGCTGATGTTAGGTTTACTTGGTACAGAGCTGACTAGGTTTACTTGCTATTTTATCTTACATTACATTTGATGAATTATTTTCTGGGTTAACTAACCTAAAACATGAGACTCAAGTAGCAAGCATGGTTGCATGCTGGTTTCCGTATGTAATGGTGTTGAGAAGTTGACAGTTTATAATTGTGTCATGTTTAACTTCTCCGACCGTTGAAGAAAATGTTAGGAACTTAGGAATTAACATACCAAACTGTCTCTTATGTGAACTCAAAATTCACTCTATGCGAATAAAACAAAAGTGGCATGCATTACTGATTAGGAAGAGCACGCGTCAGAAGAAGAAGACGTGTAAGTCGAATGAAAATGAGAAGGGAATAGTTGTTGTATATACTTAAGCAGTGACAAGAAGGGAAAAAGGGCGTGACAGTTATGTGTTACTTCCCTCTAAGCTCCTTGCTTGGTCAATTATCGCCTATTTTGTGGTCTCAGTCTCCCCCTCTTCTCCTTCCTAACTAATATCTCGTTCTGTTTATGAATGCATTCAAGTGAACTCTTGGATCTCTTATAATAATATCTTTTTCCGTTTACTGTTATATACTTTAAGAATTGAACCGTATAAATTTTCCGTAGTTTAGTTATGCAAATTTTATTGTTTTAAAATAATTTAGTAGCCACAGACCTTAACCTATCCGCATACCTATATTCAATCTCTATTCTTATTGGGTATTAGGGACTCAGTATACCTCCGTTTACTATATAAGTTGTGTCAGTTAGATATGCCAGTTAATCCATTAGTTTGCGTTTGGAGAGAAACTTGTGTATAAGCCGATGATCAATTGTACAAGACGCACTTTTTAATCATGTTTAGTATATCGACAAGTTTTACTTTGACTGTCAAAGGCTTAATATAGCTTCCTCCTTGATAAAATTGATAGAAACTAAGAGGAAGAAATAGAAACCGAAAAGCTTTCTGAAACAAATATGTAATTTGTATTTTTATTCATATTGAATACAAAGAGAAGAGAGAGAGAGGTATTTATAGTTACACTCTCAATCCAACTAAAGGTTGAATAAAATGTTGAGTCAGCAAAATTGACTCAGATTCTAATAAGCACAAGAACTAATACATTAACAGAAAACTGAGTCAGTTATACTGACTCAGGTTAATTAAGCACATGGGCTAATACAATGGGCTGCAATACATCAGAAGCTAACAAAAACTATTCACTAACATTTCTCCCTCAAACTCAGGGAAGGGTTGATCTATCAAAAACCCTAAGTTTGGATCTAAGTACTTGAAACCGAGCAATAGATAGAGGCTTGGTAAGCACATCAGCAAACTGAAACTTTGCTGGTATGTGCTTAACAATTAAGACTTTTGTTAAGCACTTTTTCCCTTACAAAGAAAATATCAAGCTCCATATATTTGGTTCTAGCATGGAGAACTGGATTGTAGGAAAGAGAAACTGTGCTAAGATTATCACAGTAAAGGATAAGAGGTTGATAGGGGACCTTGAGTTCTTTTAGGAGAGACTCCAACTAGAGAAGCTCAACAGTGGTTGAGGCTAGACTTTTGTATGCTGCCTCTGTACTATATCTTGCAACAAGAGTCTATTTCTTAGACCACCAAGACACCAAGTTTAGCCCCAAAAAGTTGCAGGAACCAGAAGTTGATCTTCTATCATCTTTGTAAGTAGCCCAGTCAGCATTAGAAAAAGCTATAAGAGGTAGAGAGGAAGCAGAAGAGGGCTGCAACAGAAGGCCATGATGAGGAGTGCCCTTTAAGTACCTTAGGATTCTTTTTAGAGCTTTCCAATGATCTTCTAGGGGATTAGACATGAATTGACAGACTTTGTTAACTGCAAAACTTATTTCTAGTCTAGTTATGGTAGCATATTGTAGTGCTCCAACAATAGATCTGTAGAGAGATGAATCTTCAACATAATTAGCACCATGCTTGGAGAGGTTGAGATTAGCAACCATAGGAGAAGAGATACTGTTTGCATTAGTCATCTTAGCTTTGGCAAGAATATCTTTGATGTATTTGGCTTGAGAAAGATGGAGAGATGATGAACCTTAATACCTAGAAAATAATCAAGCTATCCAAGATCTTTGAGAGCAAATTGAGAGTTGAGAGACTTAATAAGTTGTTGAATATAGGATGTAAAGTTGCCAGTGATGATTATGTCATCAACATAAACCAGAATGTAAATACAGTGTGTAGTAGTGTTAAGAATGAACAAAGAAGGATCACATTTGCTGGAAATAAAGCCAAAGTTGAGAAGAGTAGAGGCAAGTCTATCAAACCATGCTCTAGGGGCCTGTTTAAGGTCATAGAGAGCCTTGTGAAGTTTGCACACTAGGCTACTGTCAGAAGAGACAAAACTAGGAGGTTAAACCATGAAAACTTCTTCCTCAAGAATGTCATTGAGAAAGGCATTGTTAACATCAAGATGTTGAAGTGACCACCTTTTGGAAACAGCCAAGGAGAGGATGATTTTGACTGTTACAGGCTTAACTACAGGAGAAAATGTCTCATTGTAATCAAAGTCAAGCTGCTGATGGAAGCCCTTGGCTACTAGCCGAGCCTTATACTTATTTATAGAGCCATCAGAATTCTCTTTCACACGAAACACCCATGTGCATCTGATTGCTTGCCTACCTGCAGGGAGAGGAACTAAGGACTAAGTCCCATTTTTTATTAGTGCATTATATTCCTCTTGCATAGCAAAAAACCATTTAGGATCTGTCATGACCTGTTTGTAGGAAGTAGGTTCCAAGTGAGTTAAAAGTAAAGTAGGATGTTACCGTGGTTGGACAATTCCTACTTTTGTCCGAGTAATCATGGGATGGGAATTAAGAGGATGAGATACAGGTTGGAGATTGGATGGAGAAGCTGAAGGTGCAGAATCAATGGGAGGAATAAATGGATTGGTAAGAGGCTGTGTGAGATGTAGGAGTTAGTTGAGAGAAAGATTGAGTGGGTAAGTTAAGAGAAGGTGAACCTGGTGTAGTGTGAGTAGAGGATGCTGGTGATAACAAAAAAACTTTGGAGGTAGGAAAGGAGCTAGGGAGGTTGGATGTTGAGACAGGAGAGGAGAGAAATGAATCAGTGTATGGAAACCGATGCTCATTGAAGAGGACATCCTTAGAAATAAAAATTTTTCCATCAGAGGCAAGGCATTTATAACCCTTATGATCAGATGAATAACCCAAGAAGACACATTCTTTAGAATGAAAATACATTTTATGAGAGTTATAGACACGAAGAAATGGAAAACAGGCACAACCGAATACCTTCAAGAACTTATAGTCAGGGTGTTAACTAAAGAGAACAAGATGAGGTGGTTTAAGATGAAAGACTGGTGTCAGAAGCTTATTGATGAGGTAGGTAGCTGTGAGGAAAGCATGATCCCAAAATCTGAAAGGTAAATTGGATTGAGCGAGTAAAGTAAGACCAATTTCAACAATATGATGATGTTTGCGATCCACTGAACCATTTTGATGATGTGTGTGGACAAGAGATTTTATGCACAATGCCAAGATCTGTAAGAAATTTGTGTAAATGACGAAATTCACCTCCCCAGTCTGTTTGTACAGACTTTATTTTAGCATTAAGTTGTAATTCAACCATATTTTTGAATTGAATAAAGACAGAATAGGTATCTGATTTTTGTTTGAGAGGATAAATCCAAGTAAATTTGTAAAATTTGAAGTTGAAGAGAAATAGATGGAGGTCTATGAGCCTTGCCCAAGCAACAAGCATTCCAGAAATCAATATTAGATTTACTAGATAAGGAAACATTACAAGTGTTTAAGGCAGTTTTGAGTATATTTTGATTAGGATAGCCTAGTCTACACTGCCAAAGGTGATACAAGGTAGAACTAGAATTGGTCATACATGAACCAGAATTATTAGTATTAACAGCTATAGCAGAGTGGACAAAATTGATAACAGGAACAACAGAGCAAGTCTTGTTGGTTGAAGATGCAGTTCCTTGAGAATGAAGCATATTGGGAAAGGAGTGGAGACCATCCTTGCCAAGAGTGCCCAAGAGAAGTGGTTCAGAAATGGCCTGGGATTTGACAACACAGAAAGTAGGGTGAAATTCAAAGAACACATTATTATCTTTAGCAAACTTACTCACCCTAACCAGGTTTTTGGTTATGGAAGGGACTAATAAAAGATTATGAAGATTAAAGTGTTTGTGAATGTTAAATGGTGATTTGAAAGAAGTAGAACCAATAACAGTTATTGACAAACCTTGGCCATTTCCTACAAATACTTGATTTAAACCTAGAAGAGGAATGTTGTCATGAAACACTTCACCATCCGTAGTGACATGGTGAGAAGCACCAGAGTCAGGATACCAGTTGAAGGATGAAAAAGATTTTGATCCAACAAAAAAGGCCTGAGGATGTGCTGCTCTTGGTTGCATAGCAGAAGGAGAAAATTGATGATAGGAAAGAGCACCAGTTGCTGGAACTGTGTATTGTGGTGAAGGATAGGGAGGTCAGTCACCTTGAAACCATTACGGAGGAGGACGAGAGGCAGATTGTATATCTAGTCCAGAATTTCTATAGTAGCATATGCTTGCATCATGTCCCATCTTGTAGCAAATTTGACACTGAACATTATGAAAACGACCTCCTCCTTGACCAAAACGTCTGTAACCTCGACCAAAACGACCTCTTCCTCTATAGTTCGGATTACCTCTTCCAGAAGTTGGTTGAGGTTGAAAAGAAGAAGCAAAATTCATTCTCAACTTCAACAGGCTTGGCTTGTGGAGTAGAGGAAGTTTCTGTATTCTTGACCTGAGTGAGATTAACTTGGAGTGTTTTACTGATCACATTCTTCTTGTTTTTCTTAATACGCAACTCTCTGGAAAGCAGCAAGGACTCAAATTCAACCATAGGACAGATGTCCTCTCTATAGTTAACAACATCAACAGTTGAATCATATTCTTCCGAAAGAGCTTCGAGAATGATCTCAAACTGATCTCTGTAAGGAATGGGATCACCAATGGAAATAATAGCCTCTGAAATAGCTTGAATTCTTGCAAAGAATTCTGAAATGCTACGGTCACCTTTGGTAATAGAACGAAGTTCTGAACGGAGTTGCCAAAAGCGATTCTTCACTTGCTTGGCAAAGAACTTGTGAATTTCATCCCAAACCTAATAGGAATGTCTACAATCGACTACCTTAGGAAGAATTGAATCTGAAATTGTAGATAAAAGCCATGTACATAGAAGTGAATCATGTTGATCCCATTCTAAGTAAGTTGGATTCTCAATTTCGAGATCTTTGTCTAATTCAGTCAGAAAATGAAGAGGAATAGTTGGATTTACCACAAAACGATGCAATTTGTGGCCACGAATTACACCTTCAACTTGT